GTAAGCAAGCGGTCTGGGGCAAAAGAAAAAAGTTTCTATGAAAAAAGTTCGTGGGACAAATAGTTCCTGGTAATTGCGGTGGAAACGCGGCTCCATTTAATCTATCCGACTAATTTGTAAGTGTGAACTTGTGAAATATACAACATCTAAATAAGGCAAAAATAAGTGTGCATGTGGGGAAATACTGTAGATGTTTGACCATAATAAACAGAATTTCTCTGCTGTCAGTTTCTTCTAAAATTCTTTATTTCAGCCATTAGCTTTATTGCTGAAGAAACAGAATCACTATGCTTCTCTGTCACCCTTAAAGCTGAGTGATCTCGCTGCATTCCAGCTCCATCAGCAAATGACACTATGACAGCTATGTGAACTGACCTTCATGGCACTGGTCCCTCAAACATAAAACCCCACATCCCCATTTAAAGACAATCTGGAGCTCATTCACGGCCATTCATACAGTGCCAGATCAATCAAGCCCAGTGCCTCTGTGGGGAACCACTGTGAATGAGAGGTTAAAGAGGGATGTGAACAGAGGGGTTATCGTAATCACTTCACAGGAAATGGCACATGGTGAATAAATGGATTCATCTCAAAAGCTTGATGTCTTGTTATTGCAATGTTCTTCTAAAATGGGTATGCTCAGGCGGTGGTTGTTTATTAGAAAGCCCTAAAAATGATTACCGTTTTTTTTTTTACTAGAATATCACTCAATTTGAATTCAGCATCATATAAATTTAAATAAGATATGAACAATTTGTAAGTCTATACACACAAAGCAACCAAGTCTTGCATCACGGAAATGATTCCTTCAATTTGTACCATCTGTCATTATCCTTCTAGAGATTTGTGACTGAGCATTTGAATTATAAAGCATTATTCATAGGATAACTTCATCCTCAAAGCTTATGCTGGCTCTGTCGGAGGAAAGCAGGAATTGCGGTTTGGGGAATAAAGGTGCTTCCCGCTTGTTCACAGTCTTGGTAAAAAGGGCGTGAATCACATTAGTGTGTTTCCATATAATGCATGCATAGTGAACAATAGTGAACAATAACAATAAATTAAAACACAAATGTAATTTTCAGGCTATATTTAGGAATTGTGAAGATAGATATGACATGCTAAACAAAGAGAGGTTTTGTGAGAAAGCATATAACACTGTGAGCTGTAGCGAGAGGCAAGCTTTAATATGATCTTGACACAGTGCAAGAGATGTGTGATGAAACACGTGATGTGCGTTTTTATATTTCACAATTTGGAATAATGTGCAAAAAATGCACCGTGACCTATAGTGTAGCTACTTAAACACATATTTTTTTCACATTGTGTAAGATTGTAAAAATAAATAGGCCAATGTTAAAAATTTTTATTTAGTCGTGATGTCAGTTTGTAGGTCAAGGTCAGTGAGTCTCTCCAATTCATGTAAATGTTTATAATGGTCACGGTCTGAATAAGATGCTGGGTCATTTTGCTGATTTACTAGACTATATTGACAGATAATATGTTGGTGATCAGAGAGACTATGTCATTAATGGGATAGTTCACCCTAAAATAAAAGTCATCATTTACTCACTCTGCTGTTCTAATGCCCTTTTACCTTTATAGGAACACAAAAGGTGAATTTATTATAAAAATGTCCTGCTTGGGCTCATCCATATAATAGCAGTGAATAGTGACCAGTATCAAGCTTCTTTTTAAAGACGCAACAGTATAATAGGATGATACCATGCATGCTACACGCCGTACTGTTATTCTGGGATTATATGATTGGGTTTGGGTGAGAAACAAAACAAAACATAATGTATTATTTAATGAAAATCCTGAGTTTGGTCTTCAGACAGTTCACATCTACTCGCCCCAAAAAAGTAAACAAGTTGTGAGAAATCATGATTTATAAAAATGCGACATGAGATACAGTACTTTCTTTTCTGAGGTGAATAAACCTGTTGTGTTCGTCGCCTATCGTGTGTACATTGAAAATAATGCTTTCCCCATTATTATTGAATCATGGAAGCTACACCAGTTACTTTTGCCAAGATATTTCTTATTTATTATGTATCATGTATCAGACATATGAGAGAAACTGGCATATAAGAATAATACTACAGGTGAGGAGGTCTTCATTCCAGATTTCTCTATTCCCCATGCTGTAAATGGTTTCTTGGTGTTTCTCCTTCCTCTCACCCCATCATGCCTCTATGTTTCTCCTTCCTCTCTCGCTCATGCCTTTATGTTTCTCTGAGTTGGTATAGTAAGGACTGAACTTATATACATTACAGAGCGACTTTCAACTTCCTTGTAATGTAGAAAAACATTGCTTATGCTTTAAAATGGAAGTACATGGTACAGTCCACTATCCCTCTGTGTAAACATTAGAGGTACATTTGCATCAGTTGAAACACTCCTTTCCTTGTAATGAAAATGCCAACTGAAGTATCATCATCAGTGCAACATCTCTGCTCAGTAAATGTGTTACATTGCACACATACCTCTAGGCAAAACATAGCTCATCCCACATCTCTCATCAGCACACATGTACAACATACTCTGACTTCGCAAAATACATTATGAAAATTATTATGAAAATGAATGAAGGAAAATAATTCTAAAAAATAACATTAAACAGTTTATTTTAGTCTTCAATCTGGAACTGTCATTCTGCCATCAGACAAAAGGAGTTCCGGTCTGGAGATATTTACCTCATTGAAGAAAGTACATGGATACTTTTCCGGGATTTCTAGGCGTTGTATTTCATGTTGTGTTTTTATCCATCTTGATTTCTCACTTGTGTGCTCTTTCTGGGTGAGAAACAGAGTGATCTGTGGTACTAATAGAGTATCAAGATTGCCCAGTTAGACGTGAGTCAACATATTTTGTTGATCCTGGCCTGGAACAACGTTCTTGTCCTAAAATTTAGCCCTAACCATAACTACTTCTACACCTGGCTAACTCTAACAAAAAGTTACCCTTAAAATCAGAGGGGAATGATAGGTGAATAACAGAAGCACACACTGTAAAACCCAACAAGTGAAGTTCACTCATTTCATTTGAGGAAACCGATTGCCTTAATTCAGAGACATAAGTACTCTGAACTTATTTTAATCGAGTCCACTAAAACAATAATATTTATTGATACACAATTAAACTTTACACTGCATTTAATACTGTATATAGCTGAAACTTCAAATTTATTGATTGAAATGTTGTTCCAGGATCAACAAAGATGATGTTGCACGTCGTGAAATCAGGTTCTGCGAAAGCCCATTCAAGCAAAGAAGACCAATGGCCAAGGTTAGGATTTGCATTAAAGAATACATTAAATTATTGGTCTTTTTTTTTTTTTTTTTTTTTGTTTCCTCTTTTCTCTTTTTACGTCTGAGTAACTCTGAAGACCTTGACAAGCTTGTTCCAAGGGGGTAATCCATCAGCCGGAAACTGAAGCTTCCCCTGGGGGCCGCCATTGTAGCAGACCATCACCTGCTGTTAGCATCCCATTGACTCCCATTTATTTTGGCGTGACTTTGACAGCAAATAACTTTACATCTGAGGCGTCCAAAGAGTCCATTTGTCCATTATTTATTTCTAAGGAAACACGACAATGTATTAAAGGCTCCATTACTTTTTATTTTACGTTATGGCCCTGTAGAAGCAGTTTTTGTAAAAATAGGCTAACGAATGCTTGCGTGCAATCGGGGAATGTGGAGGCATAAAGTCAAGGGAGAAGCCCATAGAGAATCATAAAGTTGCTCCTGCTGCTGCTCATGAACAGCTCCTACTCACGCTCTCAGTTTCTGCAGGATTCGGAAGGGAATGATTCAGATTTCTCTTGGCACCGCTACTAGAAGACGTACAACTATGAGACTGTTGCTCATGTCACATCTACGTCATCAAGCTCAGAGTGAGCCTGTGCAGTGCACTCAGCCCTCAGAAAGAGAATGCTTCTAATTGGCTGTAAAAATATACAATCTACTCAACTTTAATACAAAAATATCGTTATTTGAATTCAGCCAAGAGATAAAAACGGGAATGTGATGTCATGATTGACAGCTTCTCTAAACTAAGTAGGCCTATTACTGAGGCACCAACGGATTTTTGGGGGAATCTTTGGGAGGAGATTATGGCTTAAAATTTGATTTCAACATGTCCTACTGTTTATTTCCCACAGTAATTTTTTTTATTTATTTTCCGTTTCTGCGGGAGTAAGGGCGGGACATCGCTGCTTTAGCCTACTTTGTACCTGAGGCTGGAAGGTCAGCTGAGGGTGATAATATTTTGGTGATTTCAGTGGTTAATGTTTGTTTTGACTTTATAGTTTATTTTTGGACTTCATTGTTTAAATGTGTATTTCTGTATTGTGAATTTCATAATTTGGTTGCCGTTTGTATTTTATTATTATTCTGTTGTTGAAGTTGAGTGTCATGTGACCCAGTGTGTGCTGATTAACTCAGCTGGGACGTGTCAGGGTCAATTAGATGTGAAACAAGATCCCTCCTGACTTAATCTATACCAGGCGAATACGGTAAATGTTTTAATACTTTGTATATTATGTTGGTTTGTGTTTGTTGTGGTGTTGTGTTGTGTGTAAAATTATGGTTTGGTTTTCTTTTGTGTTTAGTTTTCACGGTGTCTCAAAAATGGACATCAGTACTTCGGAAGCGTGGACTGTTTTGTAACCAGCGAGTAAGTTAGTATACTTCCTGCTCACTATACTACGCAGAAGCAGACCACAAATCTGTGCAAGATGTCAGCGCCATATTAGGACTTTGGTGGCTTCAGTTTTCATCACGAAAAGTGCAGTATGACTGCCCATAAATTCAGAATAATCTGAATAAGAACCTTCTTTGTTTTACACCAAAAAATAATTAAAAAAAAAAATCAAACAAAAAAAGGTCAATGGAAGTCGCGAAACTTTTAATTGCATTGTCATCATATATCCCGAAGAATCCAGATTATCCAGTGATCTATAAAGCTGTACAGAATTGCCCATATGAAGGTCTCCATGGAGGAAATCATCGAAAATGTCTGTGGCTCTTTAAAGACGTTCCTGTTCTCCAGGGACCGATTTTTCATGCATCGCTTCTTACCCATATCTTTGCATATGAAGGCCTTAAGTAGCACATTGGTTGAGCCAGGGGCGCTGTGCGGGGAGAAACTCCGAGATTAGACGAAAGGCTTCGTCCATTCAGCGCGGACAGCAGCAGCCAGCGCGCTCCCTCTGTGGGCGGTGTTTCAAACCAGCGGATTCGGGAGGAACGTGGGAGCTGTCATTGCTGTAAAACACATTTGCGGGCACCAGCATCACCGTTGACAGCAATTACAAGTGCTGGGATTATGTTCATTTAAACGACCACTTATTGACAGGGTGCCTTCATAACATGCTGCTCCATATGTAATCCAATGTATTTTTTTTTTAATTCGCCAGCTCTGAAGGGGAATTTTGGAGAGACAAGCTGATCATGAAGTGGGATATTTTACTCTTCTCTTGTCTTTTAGAGAAAAATAACGGATGCTTCCGTTGAACGAAGGTATTTTCCACTGGATTAACAAGGGACAGTATTTTTGATACTTAATTTCCGTGCATAAATACTAATCTATTGCCGTTTACGGGAAACAACGTTGTTTTTTATGAAGTCACGGGCGAAACATCGTGTCATTCGTATAGCCTAGTACCTCAATTTCAAAATGCTGTGGTGCTGATGAGAGACTGTTCCTCGATAACAGTTTTTTTTTATTTTCACAACCCACAATGAGAAACAAATAGCTCTCCGCTTAAGCGATGGAAACACTGTGACTGAGGCTTCTACTGAACTTGAGAAGCAGCAACAGCGACTGCACGTCTCGACACCCCAGAAATCAACACATAATATGGTATGAGCTTCTGAAGTCGATTGGAGCATGGAGTCCGCACACCAGGCAGGTTAGGAGGTTTTGCGAGACACACTAAGAACCTTGTATTGACCCCCCATCCTGAAATGAGGCAAAATGTTGATGTGTGACAGAGGAGTCCAAATGCTCATCACTACAGTGGGCGCTTTCGCCGCGTTCAGCCTGATGACTATCGCTGTGGGAACGGACTATTGGCTGTACTCACGAGGAGTGTGCCGGGTCAAAAGTAATAACGAGAACGAGACGAGCAGGAAGAATGAGGAAGTCATGACCCATTCGGGGCTCTGGAGAACCTGCTGTCTGGAAGGTAAGACGTTTTGTGTGCAAGTCCAACTTATGTGCTATCTATCTATCTATCTATCTATCTATCTATCTATCTATCTATCTATCTATCTATCTATCTATCTATCTATCTATCTATCTATCTATCTATCTAAAGATTCTAGTACTATAGCGTTTCTAGTACACCACTGTTCATTCTATCACTGAGATTAAATTGAGTTTTATTTAATGTGACATACTGGAAGCACTACTAACCTCAATCTATCACCAGAATTTACTTTTATACTACAATATTTACAACTGTTAACTACAACTGCTACAATATCCTAACTGTTTATTGAAGGCTTTTTGAAGCTATTTTCCCACAGTCACAAATTGAGTCTTTTAAATGCAGCATGATGATTGCAACTGTCATATAACCAATAGATCCGGGCTAAATTGTCTAATTACTCATTGTCAATTCAAAATAAGATGGACAATCATATTGATTGCCTTATATTGCAGTTCAATAAAATCACTTTATTCTGCAAAGTATAAATCTCTCAGTATTGCAAGCTGTTGACACAGAATATACCTGGCTATTGCTGTTGGTGTCTGCCTGAGTGCAAGATTATTACCAATATTACCAAATATATTTATTCTCTCTTGAAGCTGTGATCTCTTGAAGGTGCTCTGAATGATAGTGAACAGCGCGTCGTACCGCCTCACACACAAAGCAGCTTTAAAGGGCTTTTTAAGGGGAAATAAAAGTCAATTCAAACTAGAAGCCCACAGCCTTACATAAGTACAGCGAGCTCAACAAAACACCCTATGGAGTTTAAGACATACCCTGTAATTCAAATGTACACCACATACCCCTAAAACATGATGATGACTTTTGCTTATCCTCTTCCTCCCAGTTCCTCGTTTTTTTCTCCTTATCTTCCCCCTCGTTCCTTGCCTTTGTCCTCTGGATGGATTCATTCTAATTCCATGCAGTTTAGGTTTTGGCAGCCCTGACACTGCTTGACTGGGAGCGAAATAATGTACTTCATAATGTCTTTTCAAACTTTGATTAATCTCCTGCCCCAGGGAATGCAGAGAGGTGACATGACTGCAGTGTGATGGGAAGATCCTCATCTTTAATTGAAAGGGATGGGCGCAATCCAATAGATGTGACCATGGCAGATTACACAAATCCAGTGATTGACTTTTCAGTATTAATTTAATTGAAGTGTATGTCACTGTCACCCAGTGCACGGAGACCCACTGCCATATTTGATCCACTTTAAATCTCCAAAAGATTCTCATGATTTATTTGCTTAATATCAATGAGGGATTGATCCGTCTAAATAGAAACCTATCACTCTGAGTCATGGTGTATGCTTGTCTAGACATAAATCTTTGAGGAAGGTAATAATGAGGCTTTCTGCTGGACAAGACTACATGATCAGCCTCTCTGAATATAACCTTCAAGTGTTGGTTGGGTAGGCTTTACAGCCGCTTTCTACCTTCAGCTGTTTCTCTATGTGTGACAGCTTTGCTTTGCCTGTTGATGTTATTCAAAATCATTATGAAACCGCCATTGATCCTTTTTACTTTCTTAATGCACATTTCTGGTCTCATTGTGAATGATTCATCAGTGGCTTTTATTTCATAGAAAAAAAATTGTTTGATTTTGCAATCTTTTATCAAAATATATTTTTTTTTTACTCTTTCTGGAAGCAACCTTCCTGTCAAGCTGACATCATCTAGGCCAGGCAGCCTATTTGATCATGTTAACCAATAGCAAAATAGGTATTTTTGACACATTTTAGCGATTCTTTCTGGTATGAAACACCCACTTTTTACAATCCAATAGTATTTCTTATTCAGAAAGGTGTTAAATTCTGAAATAATAAGGGTTGTGAATGCCTTTAAATATTTATCTTCACACTGTGTTCTTAAAAGATTTGGCCTCTTTGTGAATATTGGTTTTGTGTTTGTGAAAGTGCGACCAAAAATTAAAAGTTCTCTCATCATTTACTCAGCCTCATGACGTTCTTGAGCTGAACACAAAATAACATATTTTGTAGAAGAACTTTGTTTTTGAGCATTCAATGAAAGTCAGTGTGGTCTAAAACAACGTTGGACCCCTTGGACTTTCATTGACTGGACAAAAACACTGGGGCATTTCTCAAAATATCTTCTTTTGTGTTACACCAAGAAAGTCATACAAGTTTGACATCCCTTTGATGATGATAGTTTGGATTCTTATAATTTTAGGCAATTTAGAGCATTAAGAGAGACATTTCCACTTTGAAAAAGTCTGTACTACATGTGTAGGATTGGAAGTGCATTTGTTAAATAGCTATGATTGAGATATTAGTGTTAAGTAGGGAGCGTTAAGTTGATGTTTGTTTTTAGTAGTCTGTCAGGTCATGCCATCTTTCTCTTCAGCCTCCTTATATGTCCAGCAGCCATATGTGTTAAACGCTCTAGGAGGAGTTCATCAAGTGCAGCTCTGTGTGCCAATGTAAATGATAGTCTCTGCAGGAGGCCAAAACCCTAGTATACTGATCGAGACTTCCTGGAAAAGCTGTGAACTGAAGTGCGGCTTGAATTTTATGGGCCATACCATAAGATTCACTTAAGATCGTGATTCCTACCCCGTAATTACGGTTTAAATGCCAAAGGCTGAAGGTACAGTCATACATTTAAAGCAAACAACATATCAGACTATTAGAATTCATATGAATAATATGAATCGGCGTGAGAATGTGATTCACTGCACACTGTCCCAATTTTCATTGAAACAGTTTCCAGAAGGCATGACTTTATTCACCCTCGTGTTCTTTGGAAACTATACTTATTGTTATTTTATGTATGGGTTCACATCTTTGGGGTCAGTAAGTTTTCTTTATTTTTATTATTTATAATCAAGTGTGCATTAAATTGACCATAAGTGACAGGAAAGACATTTCCATAATTGTTCTTTTGAACTTTCTATTCATCAAAGAATCCTGGAAAAATAGAATCACGGTTTTAAAAGAATCAAAAATAGGTTTCAAAAGAATCAAAAATGGAATCACGCAAAAATAGTAAACAGCACACAACCATTTTCAACACTGATGATAATACGAATAAATGTTTCTTGAACATCAAATGGAGTAATGATCCTGAAAATACAACTTTTACATCACAGGAATAAATTACATTTTAAAGTATATTCAAAAAGAGTTTTAAATTGTAATAACATTTCACAATATAACTTTATTTTGTGTTAAATAAATGCAGTCTTTCAAAACGTTAAAAATTCTTATTGACCCCAAACTATTTTTAACAGTAGTGTATGCCTATAGTGTATGTAATTATAGTAATTTTCAGAATTACTTTCATGTGCTCTATAGTCAAGTCAAAAACAAAACAAATCACAATTGTATGTGTACAATTTCAGAAAATCCATTACATTTAATCATGGCTTATATCTTGGGTCTGTGAGACCAAAACAGAAGTGACGTAACATTTTTCATTGAGGAACATTTTTCAAAGTTGAATTTATGTTTATGATAAATTCTCAAAAGATAGGAAAAGTATCAACCTGATACTCGAATATATTAAGTATATTTTTCAAGCTATTAAAAAGGCCTTGAGGCCTCCCAAACAGAACATGAGGGTTAAATATATGGCGTGTTGCATCACATGTCATCATAGGGAGGCACATTAGCGGTTATGTACGTAATAATAAGGGAATGCTCCGGTGGAATTCAACACGGGTTCATTTGCTGAATGGAGGTTTAAGATTAATGCAGTACGTCCTCAAGTGCAGGTGGATCTCAGGGGAACAGTTTGGCCTTGCCCAGGATAAATGATGACCTGGGAACTGAGGTGGGGAGGGAAGGGGGAGAGAGAGGCAAAGCAGGGAGTGATGAAGAGGGACTCTTCCTTCCAAGTGTGCACCCAAGCAAAGCCTGTCTCATACACTCTCATCACGCACACACATCTCCTTGGAAACCAGCCGCTCCCGTCTGCGATATAGGCCCACTGCTCCATACCTTCCCCCATCCTCAACCCTGTTTCCCATCCTCCTCCTCCTCCTCCCCTTACCAAGGCTTTGGAAATACGGAAAGCATGAGATGCTGCTCGGCTATCACATGGCATCTCAAACATGTGTCAAACATGCATGGGGAGATGCGCACGCACCAGTGCACATATCCTCAAACGGACAATGAGATTGGCTCGTTGGGATGTGAACATACTGTACCTCATAACCACTTACACTGCCACTCGGGACACTTTGCAGGCATGGGGTCCTGTGTTTTTGCCTTTTTAATGTGCACTAAAGGTGCGAGTGAGGGCTGTTAGACTAGGAACAAAAGGTTGGGCTAAAACATACGGCTACAGTGGACTTCATTTATTATTACACTAGTAATGGAAGAAACTTGTCAGCACTTTGCAGTACATTGTGGAAATACACTTTTTATCTATACGCTTGCAGATTTTTTTTTTGGGTGGCAATTTAAATGAGCAGAAGAAATTAATAATGAATGTTTCTTTGTGTTAAAGCCCAGTCAGTATAACAGTCAGATATGCTTTCACCATTTTCATTTAGTGCCTCTAACATGAGCTCCTATCTTTGTGTAAAGGCTTATGGGGGACGTGTGAAGAAAATTCCTGATTTAAATGACAAGTAAGGAGCCTATAATTTCTGGTGAAGTATGTAAGCGATCTGCCCCAAATTGGGGTTTATTTTTTTTTTGCAATAATGACCAACTGGCTGTTCATTAATATGGCCACTGGTCCAATAAATAAATATGTGGGTATTAAATATTGATTTGAACTGAATTTTTTTTTATAATTTTACTTGTAAATTATTTTAAAGCTTTTCGATTTAGTTCATTACAATGTACAAAACAATCGTATAAAAATATATACAGTGTTGGCTATTAGGAAATCTTTTGCTGTGAATGACCAATCAGAATGAAGTATTCCAAAGAGCACTATAGTCTCATACACTAATAATTCTGTGGATTATGTAGAAGAAAAATATCTATCTAATTCACAACG